CTTTGTAAACATTGGTCACGTACAGTGTACGCGGCGTCATTTGGGCACTTTGTGGCGGGACGTACAGTGTACGTCTCCCGTCACAAAGAGGTTAAGGGAACCATAGTCAGAGCCACACAGAGGAAATGAAGAAAGCTTCAAAGGAGCAGTGGTATAGTTATGTAGGATTGGGCCCTAGTGCAAACCTTGGATATGAGTACGCCCGTATTTCCTCTCAGTATTAATAGTTACAGTAACAAAGCATGCAAGACAGAGTTAGGCAGGTAGATCACCTTAAAGGACTGCTCATTAGAAGCTGTTGGACCTTTGCTGGTTACAGGGATGCATATTCATGAGTTTGGCATCTGCCCAGAGAAGTTCTCTACGCTGCTCTGCAAATGTGACCTCTATACTTAGTGCACTCTCTACATGTAAGTCTTAAATCTACAGGGCAATAAAGAGTGGTATGGGCGTCTAATCACATGTATGATGGCATAAATTATGATATCCCATACACTAACCAAAGAATGTTTGAACAGTTGTGGTGTCAAGCTTTCTCTTTAACAATAAACTGTCACCGAGCCCATCCAGAGCAAAGATACAGTGAGGGGAATTTATCAAAAATGGAGCAGACAAAATCTAGAGCAGCTATGCATGTCAACGAATCAGCATCTCTCTTCAGTTTGTTCAGTTAAGATTTGAATATGAAAGAGAGAGCCTGATTGGTTGCCATGCACAGCTGCTCCAGATTGTGTCTGCTCCGGTTTTGATAAATCCCCTTGAGTGTCTGTATAAAACCCTCAGCCAATGTCTGACCTCAGCCAGGGGAAATTTTGACCACTCTTCTATACAAAATTCATTCAGTTGGAAGATGTTTGTGGCTTTCCTTTCCTGAACTGCATCCACCCACAGCACTTCAATGGGATTCAAATTAGGTTCAACTTCTGGACAGACGGCTTCACATACTCATCAAGCACACTTTGATATGATGCAAATTTCAGAGTTGACATGATGGCTGCAAGCTGCCCAAGGTCTGAAGCAGCAAAGCAAGCCCAAATCATAACATTTCTACTACCACATTTCTAACTATTGTCAGTGGCCAAACAGGGAGAAGAGAACAGAGCCGCTGTCAAGTTTCAGGATGGAGTCTGTGTGTGGTTGAGTAGTTCAGTATGCCGAGTGGAGGATCGGCAAATATCTGGATTATTTACCGATCATTCTCTGTGCAGAACAAACACTGGAGTGATTGCTGATCCATCCAGTGTTTGTAAATAACTGTGTCCCCAGTTATGAATGAACAGGAAGTGTGTACATCACTTCCTGTTCATTCATGAGTTTCTGAATGGACAGTGCACTCACTATAGAGGGTTCTAGTCATTCATAATTGGGGAGAGTACTATGCCTCTTCAGTCTAAAAGTTAAAAAAAAATAAAAAAATAAAACACAACCCCCCCACACACACATAATATACACCTGCAACAGTGTGCACCAAATTATGCACATGCGCTGCGGTGCATTGTTAAAATGTTATTTATTTAAAGGCAAGGCGTTTATTTATGGCAAGGCGTTGTGATACGCTGTGTTGCGATTAAATTTATGTCTGCATCATTTTATCACGACACAAACACCAACGCAGAGCAAAAATGACATTGCACACCAGACGTTACCACACAGATTTTTAACACACATGGGAGTGTGGGCAACTACATGGCAGGTGAGGTTTAATGTAAAAAAGTGTAAGGTAATGCATTTTGGGGTTAACAATAGGCAAGCGGAATACACATTAATGGGTGTTCCACTAGAGAAGTCAGCAATGGAAAAAGATTTGGGGGTCATAGTTGACCGTAGATTGAATAATAGCTTGCAATGCCAGGCTGCGGCAAACAAAGCTAGCAGAGTACTGTCTTGTATTAAAAAGGGAATGTACTGTAGAGACAAAGCAATCATTTTGCCACTTTAAACATCACTAGTTCGGCCTCATCTTGAATATGCGGTTCAGTTTTGGTCACCAGTCCACAGAAAGGATGTCCTGGAGCTGGAGAGAATCCAGAGAACGGCAACTAAACTAATTAAGGGGCTGGAGGATCAAAGCTATGAGACAAGGTTGCTAAGTTTAAAGTTGTTCACGCTGGAAGTGAGGAGATTAAGAGGGGACATGATTTTGTTGTACAAAATGTTCAGTGGTGATGGAAACATTGGCACTAAACTTTTTACTGTAAACTCCCTAACAAGGACTAGCGGCCACCACCTAAAATTGGTGGAAAAAAGTAGGGATGCACCGATATATCGGCCGCCGAAAATGCAATTTTTCTGCCGATACAGCGGCACATCCCTGCTTTCCTTCCTCTGCTGGCTGTCACACTTTCTCTCCTCCCTGCTGGGACACAGCAGCGCCCAGCGGGGAGGAGAGAAAGTGTGACAGCTGGCCGAGCGCTGCGGCCGGCGCGTCTTCTCCCACACCGCTTCTGTCACAGTCCGGCAGAGCGGTGTGTGGGCGGAGACTGCCAGCATTGTCATAGGAGGCTGAGCTCTCCTCCCTGCACCGCTCGCTCAGCCTCCTGTGACAGCTGTCAGGATGGAGAGCAAGTGCAAACACTCAGCGATCAGTGGAGGTGATCTACATCAGCTCCTGTTCATTCATAATTGTGGTTATAGTAAACATACTCTGTCCTCATGTTATGAATGAACAGGAACACTCAGTATAGAGGATTCCTGTTCATTTATAACATGGCCTGCAGAAAAAAAGATTGAGGACTCTGTGTCCTAAATCTCTTTTTCTATTTTAAAAGGGAAATATCAGGGGTCTGTTTAGACCCCTAATATTTCCCCGAAGTCCCAATTTATACACAAAGGGCGTAAGGGCTTCCTTTCAGTCAGAGCGGTTACATTTTGGAACTCTCTGCTACAAGCAGTGATATATGCTAAGAATATTGACTCGTTCAAAGATCAATTAGATACCGTCCTAAGAAACCATAACATACAGGGGTACAGGTATTCTTAAATACTAGACCACATAGGGACTCTTATACACACGCACGCCCAACACACAGACAGGTTTGACTTGATGGACCTGTGTCTTTTTTTCAACCTTAATACTATGCAACTATGTAAATATTTGTTTTTTATTAACTCCGTACAGTTGTATGTTTTAGATTTAGTCGTAATCGTAAATTATGTTTTTTGTGTGCGCTGATACAGATTTTAGTGTGCTTTTATCGATTTATTGTGTATTTTTATCGGTTTAATATTGATTTGATAAACATTTGCACAATTATTGCAGCGCCTACAAAATTAGTAGCACCATCTTTTTATTCTACCGGTTCTGTGCTTTCAGGAAATGTATGGTTTGGGGGGTCTTTTACAAACTCTAAAAGCAGCAGTTGAAAATGAAAGAAAAAGGCGAAACATTGCAAAAATGGTGTGGCTAGCTGAGGTTAAAAGTGGAACACAGGGCTTGGCAGCGAAATGGTTGAATGCCTGTTAGGTTCTTTTTTTGCAAAAGAAGTGGACAAAGTTGTTGGTACACTTCCACCAAGAACCCACAATTTTCTCTGAAATAACTTGAAACTGACCAAAGTAATAAGCTATTGTTTATTTCATATTTAATAAAACAACTGACTTTGTGTTAGATTTTTAATTCAACAGAATATTTTAATGAATAAAACAAAAACAACTGCATTGACCAAAATGATGGGACTCTTAACCTAATATTTTGTTACACAACCAAAAGGAAAATCTGTCAGGCTGTGTTTATGCCGTTAGATGCTTTAAATGACGCATGTTTACATGTGTTTACGTGCATATGGATCCATCAGGGACCAAATCCTAGCATAGAAATGTGTCTACATATACGTTTAACCAACAGAATGAATGGTCACCAGCACTCCAAATGTTCTTCAATGCCAAATCTTTTTATTAGATATAGCAGGTCATATCACACGTATTTCTATATAATAAAATGTATGAATTTTATCTCAATTAATGTGTTGATATACTTATCTTCAGTATTCAAAACGTCAAATTAATAATATGTGTAATTACAGAAATGCTCGAACTGTGGGAATAGTATGGTCCTGAGTAGACATTAAGAAAAGTAAACCATAAAGCCACTGGCGGCAGCAATCGGGTGATTGCTTTCATTTACAGAACTGCAATGTTCTGGTTGCCAATAGGCAGCATTTTACAATTTACCCCTTTTAAAAATATATTGTGCTACACACATAATAGTTAGTAGAAGAAATAACATTACATAACTTAATCTCTTGAGTGAGTAAACCTTGCTGAAAGGGAATTCTGTTGCAATGAAATGTTCTAACTCCCCATGTTGTCAAAGCAAATGTGATCCAGAAGTGAAAATGTTATAATTAGCAGCATCAGAATCCACAATTTCATTGACGGTAACTTTTAAATCGCAATGCAACTTTACTAGCTGTACAGTAGCAGTAGAAGAACACACTGTTTTCATTAAAAATGTATTTTTACATTTATACAAATCAATACAAATACACCACTTCCTTCACCATTTCGAAACAACTTTAGTAATGTTTTCAGTGAAAAACAACTATCATTTTAGTTTGCTTTTATTATAAAAATAAAAACAATAATGCAACATTGTCCATCACACTTTCTTAAAAACATTGTTTCAAAAGCAAAAGGGACAAATAATATCATGGAAATTTCAACATTCTGTTGTTTTTGCATAAATGTAAGTGTTATGATTTAAGTGTTATTAAACTTAGTGTTCACCAGGTGCATTGTGCACATTATATAATAGAATGATCTATGGCTTCTCCTAGAAATAAAATGCGATTATTAGAACTTTTTAAGTATAGCATTTAGATTTTAATAAATCATTTTATTGGAGATTTACTAAAGACCCCTTTTTTCCTCATTTTATATTTTTTCTATTTGTCATTTTTTTTCTAAAAAGTGACTAAACAGAAAATTTGTAATACTTCATAATGTCTTTTATGTTAACCAATTTTAAAGTCAAACCTCAGTTTGTATCACACTCACCACCTTCCATGTCCTCAGTCCAGTTCCGGCTGCTTCCGGTTGGCGAAGATGGAGATGTGTAGAACTCTCCCCCAGGACTTGTGTCTACATCATCTTCCAGGGAGCCAGACTTGTGTCTCTTACTCCTGTACAGGGAAAATTATTAAAGGACAGAGTGACTGTCAAGGCAGATGTCTTACAATAAAGTGGAAGGAATCTCTACAACAAAATCGAAAGACTAGTTACTGAACCTTTTTTATTGAAAATGTTTTTAATTTTGCATAGCCGCACTGCCCTAAGCAGGAGCAGGAGTCAGTCTGATTCTGATTGATAGTTCGGCTTTCTGAATTGTTTGCCTCTGCCTGCTGTGTCCCTGGCAATAATAAGGGAGGCTGCACTAATCAGAGTTAGGAATGTTTGTACCTCTTCAGCCAACCACTGGGAGGTTTATTGTAAGTGGTGCATGCTAGGAGAGGGTATATATTTATATATTCAGAATTGACCATGAGAAGGCAGTATTTCCCCTGGGCCCTTTCTGGATGAAGGATACTTTGGATTGTCTGATCCTCCTGGGCCTGCAGCCTGAGGAGGGTGACTATTACTTTGTCTGAAGCCTGGGTTCAGGGTCTAGTACATTAAGCCTGGGGATAGAGATGCCATGGTCCTTGACTAAAGTTTGGTGAGTCACTCACAGAATTCTCAGTCGATTTAAAGGTTCTCTATCTGTGAAGGTTGTAAGTACTTTTTGTCTTTTTTCTGGAGTCTGCAAGTCCTGTATCTAACCTCTCTGAAAAAATGTACTACAAGAGATCACTAGTGTGGAAGCCAGTTAATCGGTCGCCCCTGATAGGTTGGTAAGTGCTTTGCGCCAGCAATGAAACTGTGTACCTTAGACATGCTGGGAGGGCCCTATTTTCACAGCAACTCTTTAGGGAGTAAGCAATATATCTGCATACATTCACACATATAGCACTGACATAGTTGCGGCAGTTTGTAAACCTTTAGAAATTTTCTGGATGAATGACTCCTAAAAAAATTATTTGATAATCATTTAAATCCTTGGTTCTCTACTGGTGGGTTTCGACCCAAAAGTGGGTAGTAACCGTGTGTTCAGTGGGTCCTCGCATTCCTTCCACTTTTCTAGGTGAGAGGCCCCTCCCCCTAGCACAGCACTGTCAGCCATTCAAAACATGCTGCCCGATACCGAGTGTCGGCTTGAGGTAGGGTGGGCTAGGGCCATGGCAGCGAGGGAGCTCCATCCATAAGTGCATTGCTCACAGCTCCTTTGTGTGTCCTGTAGAGGTTTCTGGACCGGAGTTATGTAACATTCTGGCTCCTGGAACCTCTACAGGGTGTGCAAGGGAGCTGTACAACTGGATACACATATGTATGTCACAGTACATCAGCCCACACTGGACCGCAGGCTGAGGATCCACTCTAGTTCTTGTAAGGTAGTGAGACAGGGTGGATTTAAAAATTGTGTGTGTGCGAATGTCTGTGAGTGTGTGAGATTGTGTCTATCTGTCAGTGTTTTTGAGGGCCCGTTCACATTAGTACAGTGTGTTAATCGCACAATCCCGTGCAATTAACGCACTGTACCGCGCAATTGTACCTACCACGCGTTCTGGTGTGACAGGTGCATTGTATTGCCATTCATTTTAATGGCACCCCAAAAGCATCTCCAATCCACAGTTCTATTGTCCACATCGGTACCGCAATGCCATGCGTTCCATTGCAGTGCAACTTGGGTCACAACCTAATGACCAAGGACAAATGTGGGTCCTCAGGTTACGCAGGTTGAGATCCACTGATCTAAATGATATTAATAAAAGCTTATTTATATTTAAGAGCACACACAACATATATTAACAGGGTTATTCACAAAGCTGCCGAAGGCAGCCGAGTGAATAACCCAGCCGAAGTGAGCCGAACAATGTTCGGCTATTCACTTCAGTCGTGTACGGCTGATTTCAACCATACATCGGCTAAAATCAGCCGTATCTCGGCTGTCTGCAGTCAGCCGAACATGTTCTGCATGTTCTGCATGTTCGGCTGAGCCGAAGTGCAGAAGGACTTGGACTCAGCCAATCCAACATCTAGATCGGCTGAGCCGAAGCTCCGGCAGCTCCCTCGCTGCCGTTCACCACTATTCTCATAGGGGCCGAATGGCAGTGAGTAAATAGCCGAATGCCATCTTGCGGCATTCAGCTCGGCTATTCTGTTCGGTACCTCCGTGGTACCAAGCAGAATTGAAAATAAGTGGGGAAAAAAAGGTTGAGAAATGATTTTAAAATGATTCAAAATAGGAAAATGTAAAATAAAATAAAAATATTTTAAAGAAAAAAAACGATTAGGCGGAGCTAGCAGTGAAAGGAGGAATCACTGTTAAATAACTGCCAGGAAGTGCATCAAACTAGATTTCATACATTGGGACCACATACTGTATTTTAAATACAAAAATAACCCATTATGGTTATCTTTCTTCTTTAACCAGTGTTGCTTTATATCAGGAGAACAGACAAAAGATTCTGATTGATTACTTTTTGGCTTGATTTAACGTCAATAAATGAGAGTTTCCATGGTAAAAAAATGAACTGGCATTGCATACCAGGCAATCTCTCCAACAGAGCTATGGATAGCAAGAAAACATGACAGTTACACTTTATATCAATGTTTCACTTTAAAGCTCAATCGAAGTCTATCATTATGGTTTCTCTTTATAGTCATTTATTGCCGTTTGTATTTATATGATTTGTAGCTAAAAAATTCATAATATTTTTTAACTGATTAGAACTTGGAAATACCTTGAATACCTTTTCCTCTTAGGCCTGGTTCACACCTGGGCATTTTACAGCGCGTTCCTACGCTCTGTTAAACGCTCAACATGTGAAAACCAATGATTGCCTATGGGCATGGTTCCCACCTGGGCGTTTTACAGCGCGTAGGAACGCGCTGCAAAACGCGCTGCAAAACGCCCTACGCCCAAAGAAGTACAGGAGCTTCTTTGGGGCGTATTTGCCTTGCATATCCATTGGGATACAGCCAGGTAGCCCCGGTAAAAACGCGCGGCACGAAACGCGTGACAAACGCGCATATTCGATACGCCTAGGTGTGAACCCAGCCTTAGTGGAAATACACTTTCTGCGCCCTCCTACTCTAGTGCTCTATACTGGCATAGATAAGTACACCATGGCCAAACTCACAGATGACGTCATGTACACTTGTAGGCCTCATATACACATGCAGCAAAGGGGCAGTAAAAACAGGTAGTTGATATGTATTATTACTGCTCCCAGACCACCCACCTAAAACCTAACATAACAGCTGCTCTGGTTTATACACATGCCATGGCCGCAATTTTATACAGCATGTTGTGTTTGGCAGGTGGTATTGCTTGCCAAAAGTGTCCATTCAAGTCAATGGGACTGCACCACAAACACGTGCCAACCACTGTGCACACAGTTTCAGTGTGGAATTGCAATGCAAAATTCCCTTGGGATAAAAGAAAAAAACAGACAGCAGGTAGCAGTTTAGCCTCCTAATTGCTTGCAAACCACCGCTCAACCATGCTCTAAAAAGTGATTCACCGCAGACTACTTTTCAAAGGGCAATAAAAGTCCACTGCACATATAAACAAGGCCATACTGTGGAGAAAGAGAGGGGCGTGTCATATCAGGTCAGGTAAAGTGCACTGGACAGTGTAGTCAAATACAGTCAGATGATTACAAATGGACTTTGAAAAAGAGCAAGGTATAGAGGGAGCAGCAGGGGGACCATTTGGCTGTAGGGCTGCCAATCTGATAGACAGTCCAACAGCCAACGGAAGAAGTGCACAGCAGGCTGACAACGCTGCTGCTAATTGTGAGGAAGTGGCTTAGCGGTGTCAGCATTAAACAGGATGTGCTGTTTTTTTGGTGACTCCCCAGTTAAGAAACTACAATAAATCCTCAGCAAATGACTTGCTTAAGAAAACTGTATACAGTGAAACACGATGCCAAACATACTGAAAAATATTTTTAGTTTTACATATACTTTAAGTGAGCACATGTATTTTAAAATCAACTGAAGTAAGTTAATTTTAAATAAGAAGGCATTTAAACACAAGTATTTAGTACAAAAGGTTGTAAAAGGAGTTTGAAACCTGTAAAAACAGGATTTTTGGTGCGTACCAGAAAATCCATTATATGAGGTTCAGTAAAGGACAAAGGAATAATTAATTCTGATATGATTGTGATATACTGCCACCTAAAGGAGGATTTGGTCTCTGGAAAACAAAAAAGCCATGGCCAGCCAGGTATGACCCCTCCACTCCCAGCATGCTTCACTTTTGTAGAAAAGCAGTAATTAAGAGTAGATCACAACACAGCAGGCACTGTGTCCTTTAATGAGCTCCAAGAAACAGATTTTACAGTAAGTCCTATTTTCTTCATTGTTTATTAACCTCCCTGGCGGTATTCCCGAGTCTGGCTTGGGGTTAATTTTCAGTACCAAGAGCGGTAACCCCGAAAATTCGTTGGGAAATTCTTCATTAGACACTGAAAGTCACTTTCAGTGTCTGATGACCAATTTCCCAACGAATCGCTATTGCTCAATTCTGCAAGTGATTCTAATTTACTATCGCTGTTTCTACCTGGTCTAAAACCGCTTTTGACCTAAAACAGCGACGATTCTGCGACCGTTATGTGCGAACTTGGTACTCTATTGACTGTGGTACGGATCAGGCACCGCCCCCAGAATTCCCATTTAATGGACCATTTTTTAAAATTATTATATTATAATTTTTTATAATTATTTATAATTACTTATTATATTATAATTTCTTATATTATAATTTTTTAATTTAGTGTTTCAAACTTTATCATACCTGGGTTGCCTACTGGACTCTTGTTTGGACAGATTTAGGTGAGTTATTAGTAACATTTACTAAGAATTACGGGCCTACAATATAAAACAACAAATTTCCATGAAAAACAATGTACCGCTTTGGGATGCTAAAATCCTGAATAATCATACTGCCAGGGAGGTTAAGAACCATAGGGGGGAATTTATCATAGCAATTGCGAGTGTTTAAACTTGCACGGAATATATTTGCACCAGATTTATGATGCTAGTGTAATGTTGTTTATAAATGAGGTTTAATAGACTACAGGAAAGAAGACTTGTAACTCCAGGCAAAAAGCTGAACTGTCGCTTCTTGAAGAACTGGTCATGGGGACTTCTTAAGTTGGGATTGTTTTGATAGGTGATGCTCACTGTCACCCAGAGAAACCTCCGCCACCTCAGCCCTTCTCTTCTCTGCTACTGACTACCTCTACGACAAAATCTCACCCCTGTGCTGCCCTGACCTGGCTACTTCTGTCTTCAATAGTTCGCTGTCATCCTGCCTAGACACCTTGGCTCCTCTCACTAGACGCAGACTAAGACCACGTCCACTACAACGGTGGCAAACGGAGAAACCAGACATTTAAAAAGACATAGCCTCGCTCTTGAGCAACTGTGGCGGAAAACTAGGTCTCTGTAAGACTTCACCCTGTATAAAGCTGCCCTCCTAAAATAAAATTCCTCCCTCCATGCTGCCAAACTTATTTTTTAACTCTCATTGACACACTCTCATCCAGACCTCGTCAACTCTTTTCTCAAAATACCTGAACAATGCCTGCATGAAATCAGATTGTTTAGATATTTTGGGAGCCAGCGGGGCCGACAAGCAAGATACTGAAGCTTGGCCCAGCAGGAGATTCCTCCATCCACACAGTTTAGCGTAGATGGAGGAATCTGTTGCACTTTTGACCAGCTTGTGACCAGCGTACCTAACATAAGCACTAGGTGTCATGTATAAAGAGGAAACCCATCTGAAAAAAATTAGGACGAAAGCCCCATCGCTCAAGAGTAAAAACAGATTGCCACAAAACATAAATGCCTTGCGGGTATCAATCGATTGTAGGAAAGAGGAGAAAAGATGGAGCAAATGTGTCATTTTACGGATATGATCAATTGCCTGTTGATGAGAAATGAAACACACCTGGGAATCCTTGTGATAATCGTCATGAGAGTTTCCTGAACAAATGCACTGCATTGTAGTAAGCAGCTGAATGACCACCTGCTTTTGGCCTCTTATTCAGTTTCAGAAGCTTTATAGCATATAGGAAGAGAGCTCAATACAAACATCCCAGTTTGTATTGAGCTCAATACAAACATCCCGGTGTGCAAGTGTACCTAGAAGAATTGATGCTGTTTTGAAGGCAAAGAGTGGTCACACCAAATATTGATTTGATTTGAATTTCTCTTCTGTTCATTTACTTTACATTTTGATCATTGATAGAAATAAACTATTAACACTTTTATTTCTGGAAGCATTCTTACTTTACAGTATTTTTTCACACCTCCCTAAAACATTTGCACAGTACTGTATTAATGATCATGTGTCAACATCTAACATGTATTCTATCACAACTGCATCAGGTAAAACACTTAACGTTCTAGTGTAGACGTATTTGCATGTATTTTGTATATGTACATTAGGTAGACCAGTTGTGGGAACATTGGTGGAATAGTGAAGTACCATCACTGCTACCCACAGCAAGTCACTCACTTGCAGCACAGCAAACTGACCTGCTTCTAGTGCAGCTCTGGGTTGGCTGCAGTGCTCTAGTCCTTCTCCTTATGGCAGTCTCTATCCACATTGTAGTTCCTCCACATGACAGACTCTTTCCCTAAGGCAGTTTCTGTCCATTGCAATCCCTCTCGAAAGTGTGTTCTCTGAACTACAGTCTCTCTCCAGTGGTAAATTAATGTATTTGACTTTAAATATGTGTTTTCACATTATAATATTTATATTACTGTAGAATATGCAGAACATTTGATATTTAGTCAAAAAGAGCTGTAATGTTACATGTGGGGTTGAATAGGTAAGGCCTAAGAGTCACCAGATTTTAACAGACGCAGCCTCAGAGGAAAACATTTGGAAGCCCCTTATATAGATAATAGTTATACATTTCAAAAAATTGAGACAACATACCCACTTGATGAGGTGCTAGGGAGGGTCCTTCTCATGCCAGTTCCCGCAGGGTTTAAATCATAAGCCAGGTGTCCCTGTAGCTCTCCTAGAGAGAAATTGGGGCCTGTTCCAGATACAACTGGGGCTGCAAGTAAAACATGAAAAAATATTATCTTGACATACTCTATCATTCTTATAACACCATTCGTAACATAAAAACTAAGATAATGTAGGGAATAATTACCTTTCATAAATCAAATCAGTAAAAAGCTGAGAAAATGTTTGCCACGGTGTAGCATCCCCTCTTCTTTAACTGCCGGGAGCTTCCTGGATGTAACACGGCCTGTTAGCCCCGCCCACACCGTCAATTTACAAACAGGCAGCGATGTCCGTTAACATACAAGCGATCCGCCGGCTATAGAGCCGGCGGATCGCTTGTATAAGCTGCCGGCCCATGCCCCCCCCCCCCCTCCTTGGCCCCCCCCCATGGAGAGAAGCTGATGAAGCAGATCTCTGCTTCATCAGCTTCTTCAGGGGGGTCCTAGGTGACATTAGGGGTCTTGGAGACCACTGATGTCTCCATAAAGAGGACCTGTCACTTTTTTTGCTATCATATAAGGGCGTTTCTTAGCCCCCTATCTGATCGCAATAAAGTTAAGTGAAAAAAAGTTAAAGTTTCCCCCAAAAATTAGTTACACATAAAAAAGGATTAAAAAAACAATTTTTTTAAAAAAGTTCCCACCCATACGTACACGCATGCAAACAGGCGTCAGGTGCGCATGCCTGCGAAAACGACAATTGCGCCCATTACGCCGCACATGTTACATATCGCCGCGAATATCGCAGTTAGAGCGATAATTCTAGGGCCATCAATCACTGATAACACTAAACTGATGAGCTGTAAAAGCTTTTAAAGCGTCGCCTATGGTCAATTTTGAGTATGGTAGTTTTTTGCGATTTCGCGGGTGCGCGCACTTTTTAAGCATGACTTGTTTGGTGTCTATTTACCCGACGTGACCCCGTCTTTTATATTTCACCAAAATAAATGGGTAGTAATAATTGTTTCCCAACATAATGTAAAAAAAAACTATTTTTTTCAAAATTTTCAGGAATTTACCCCAATTATAGAAAAAAATAAAAGTGGTGATTAAATACCACCAAAAGAAAGCTCTATCTGTCCCCAAAAAATAGTATAAAATTAATTTCAGTACAGCGTTGCATGACGGAATAAACGTCATTCAAAGTACCGCAGCGCTGAATACTGAAAAATGGCCTGGCCAGGAAGGGGATCTAAACACCTGGTCAGCAAGTGGTTAAACAATACTCTGTAAACATCTGGGAACTGAAGAGACCAGTTGCTGGAGTTTTGGGAGAGGAATGTTGTCTCATTCTTGCCTGATATAGGACTCTAACTGCTCAGCAGTCCTTGGTCTTCTTTGTCGTATTTTTTGTTACAAGATGCGCCAAATATTTTCAACTGCTGAAAGGTCTGGACTGCAGGCAGGCCAGTTAAGCACCCGGGTTGCAGTATGCGGTTTAGCATTGTCCTGCTGAAATATGCAAGGCCTTCCCTGAAAAAGACGTTGTCTGGATGGGAGCATATGCTGCTCTAAAAGCTGGATATATCTTTCAGCATTGATTGTGCCTTTCCAGATGTGCAAGCTGCCCATTCCATACACACTAATGCACTCCCATACCTTAGGTGATGCAGGCTTCTGAACTGACAGCTGATAACAAGTTGGAAGGTCCCATTCCCTTTTAGCCCGCAGGACGCTGCGCCCATGGTTGCCAAAAAAGAATGTAAAATTTTGATTTGCCTGACCACAGAACTGTTATCCACTTTGCGACAGACCATTTTAAATGAGCTTTGGCCCAAAGACAGCAGCTTGGATTTTTGGATGGCACGGTGAACTGTGTTCACAGACAGTGGTTTTTGTAAGTATTCCTGAGCCCATGCATTGATGTACATCACAGAATCATGCCTGTTGTTAATGCAGTGCCGTCTGAGGGCCCGAAGATCACGGCCATCCAATATTGTCCCTTGTCCCTTGCGCACAGAGATTTCTCCGGATTCTTGGAATCTTTTGATATTATGTACTGCAGATGATTATATATATATCTATTTATATCTATATAGATAGATATATGTATATATATCTATCTATATAGATATAGATATATATATATATATATATATATATATTATATATGCAGACACACAAACACATACACAAAAAAAACATAGATTGAACTGGATGGACCTTTGTCTTTATTCAACCTCACCTACTAAGTTAATATGTCGCCATCTTTGTCTAAAATTAGGAACTTATTCAGGGAGGTTCTATATACTTTTTCTCCACTGGACTCCATGGAACCAGCAGACCCATTCTGCTGCAGCTGGAGTTTAGCTAGCTCCTCTTTGTGTTACAGAAGCAGCTTGGTGATGTAGAATGAGCTGGAGATGTAGCGGTGGATCAGCTGAGTTTAGCAGTTGTTGGTTGGCCCCCAAGGTTAAGCATCTGGCTCTCAGGCTGGTCACCCTGGACATCACATCCACCTGCATCTTGTGGTGGGGAAGACTCCTTCTCCTGGGTATCGCATCCTGTGACATCAAAGAAAGGGGCTGGTCTGCTCAATCATGCAAATCCAGGGCACAGACCATCTGCTCCTTCATCTGGCCCTTGGTAGTCTGGATGTTTTTGACCTAACACAGATTAAGCAGATCAACCTGGCTTTTGATTGTTGGCGCTCGGAGCCATGGAGCGAGTATCAGCAAAACAGCAGAATTTGGTAAATGTTCAAGAGCAGCTGTTGTTAAAGTGTTTAAAGACTGGACTGTCAGCCGAAAATCTGGGTCTGAACGTGCGAATTTTGGCCGTCAGCGACTAGTCAATGTTAGGGCAGAACGGAGAGTGGCAAGACTGGTACAAGACAACAGAAGGGCAACAGTGCAGTGTCAGATTCCTCGCATCACCTTTCAACATCTCGTGGAGTCACGAGGCGGCCCAACGAAGTCATCTCCTGGCCTAAAAAGGGAATACTGATGGGGTGGTCATAATAATCTGGCCACTCAGTGTATATATACAGTTAGAGTATATTGTAGAAGGGTGTGGCAATGCCACAATGTACTTTGGCAACATTGTCCCCAAGAACACTCAGAGGGCTAAGAGGTTCCACGATGTTAAAACTTTTCCAGGGAAGAAACTGGCTTTTACGTTCCTTCCAGGTTTTCCGGACTATAGGGGGATGGAATCTCTAGTCCCCTATAGGTGTTGCCAATGACCAGTATAGCTGGATCAGGTGGCTGAGAGCAGCCTTATTAGGAGTCTGCACCAGAGTTGTGTAGAAGTTGTGTTGGACTTGTGTTTGCAGGAGGCACACGGACACAGGCAGACTCAGGTGCGTGCTGGACGCACGTGGAACAGCCGGGGGAGGGTGGGAGAGGTCAGGAAGGTGGTTGACTGCTGAGAGAGTCGGTGACCCACGAGGGGGAGCTGAGGAAAGCTACTGAGCAATACTGAGAACTGTATATGCTGAAGAAAGCGAATTATCATGAGAAGTGCATGAAATGTTGGCCTTTGTGTGAACAAAAGACTGTCTTTTAGGTTGCTGCTGGAAGCTGTCTTGTGTAAACGGGGAAGTCTACCCTGTTGATGGAAAGAGACTCTTTGTGTTTGCCCTTAATAAACTGCGTTTAACTTGCATTTCCTGACTACAGTCGAGTGTCCTTCTTACAAGATATATATATACACCCACACTGATGAAGATAATTCTGAAATTGTTCGACAATTTTTAAATCCAGCTTTTCAGAGACTAGTGCCCATCTTTACTTCTCAGACACTCTGGGGGTGATTTACTAACCTGAACACACGCAGGCACCAGGTGCGTGTGATTTTCACACAGCAAAACGTATTTATCAACCAAAAGGTCTCTAAAAGCATATTTCCACTAATGCCATATATGGAAAAATCATGCACATGATGCATATATAATGCTGCTTCACAGTTTAGACAAAAATGGTTAGCTCATGCATTTACATTCCTGCATTCATCAACGCAAGCAACATAGAGCTAATTTACACAACATCACCTTGTAATTCATGCAGGGCTTTGCACAACACATCTGCTGGGTGTGTACACACTACAAAGGTGTTTAGATTCCACCCATAGATCATGCTGGGAGGGAACACACTATAGAGGTGTATACATGTTCGTGGTGTGTTTATAAGGTTAGTAAATCAACCCCTCTGACTCTAAAGGTGCCCATACACTGCACGATTCTCGTAGGAGAATCGCGGGAAATCCCACGATCGTAAGAGTATCATGCAGTGTGAATGAAGGCGTGCGACCGTTTCTACTGTATGGTCGCACGTCTTTTGTCTAAGGAGCATGCTAAAAAACCAGCCGAAAATATTACGATTTTCGGCTGGTTTCAATGATGCTCGGGAGACAAATGCCGAATGGGCCGGTGTGCGCACGCGCACACTGCCCTTTCAGCATTGTGGTCATCGGAAGCCCGCCCCTCAGGGGGGCAGGCTTGCGATGATCGCAAGTACGATCTGCATGTCCAAGATGGGCAGATCGTGCGTTTTTGTTAATTACTTTACAACCATCGCAAGACTAAAGTCTTGCGATGGTTGTAAAGTGTATGGGCACCTTTAAATGCTCTTTTTATCATGTTACTGACCTGTTGCCAATTAACCTGATTAGTTGCAATATGTTCTTCCAGCTCTTCCTTGTTAGTACCACTTACATTACTTTGCCTTACCTTTTTCTTAAAATGGTACATTTTCTCAGTTTAAACATTTGATGTGTTCTATTTTCTATTTTAGATAAAATATGAGTTTATGACATTTGCAAATCATTGCATTCTGTGTTTATGTAGATTTTACACAGCATCCCAACTTTTTTGGAATTGGGGTTGTAAAGTCTAGGATGAAGCATAACCTTATAACTATGCAACTCCAAAAAGGAGAACTTGCATGATAAGGCCAACAGTTCAGAAACCCTATGCAAGGTTATTGACACCAAAAAAGCAACCTTCTAAGATAGAGTCAGCAGCAGAAGTTCACAAATATACTTAAACTGGTGCGTCTGTTAAAACGAAAGCAGCAGAATCAGATCCCATGGCCTCATAGGAGGTTATTTCAGAGAGACAACATACATCATTCCTTGAATATAAGTATGCACCAACAAATGATAGGTCAAAGGTAATTGAAAAAGGATGGCTAGAACAAATACGACCCTTAAATCATAGTGAGAGCCAAACCCTGGTCTACTCAACACTGGAGGAAAGACAGGATCCTAGCAAGCGAAAAGGAACACAGAGAGACCTACGAGGACTCACGCCAGGCATAAAATGCCTTCCACGTATTATAATAAGGATTTAGCCTTACGTGCTTTAACCACTTCAAGACCAGGTGTTTAGACCCCCTTCCTGGCCAGGCCATTTTTCAGTGTTCAGCGCTGCGATACTTTGACTGACGTCATGCAACGCTGTACTGAAATTAATTTTATACCAACACCTTGCTCTCAACAGCCAAACCATTAAATGTATTGACTGTAAACCAGGATGTAAGATAAGTTAATGGGTCCCCTAAGGTCTGGATGAAGCAGGTCTGTGTACCAAGGCACGCAAGGCCAAACTGGTCCATGATACAATACGATCTGTTGCGTCTGCCTACTAATCCTGAGTCCACCTTGTGATTGAAACAAGATGGCAGAAGGTCCACGTCCAGAGTCCACTAACATTGACAGAGAAGGTGAAAAACCTTCAGATGAAGGGACCACTCCCCCTGAAATAGTCTGCTTGCCAGTTGTCCTACCCAACCAACGAAGGATGTGGGAGACCTTCACCTCTTTTGGTGCCTCCCTGATGGTTGACATATGTCACAGCTGTGTCCATAGGCATTCAGCCACCAGAGTGGAGAGATGACCAAGCACCCCTCCCCATCAATAAAAGTTGGCGTCAGTTATCGCCACTGTCCAGCAAAGTGGGAAGAAGGATTTTACGGACAGCAGCACCAGAGACCAAAGCCACCACAACCACAAGGCCCTCGTCAACGGGCTTTTTATTTTTTATTGGTATTTATTAGGGTTGCACAGATACCAAGTACAGTAATCGGTACAAGTACGAGTACATGTACCGATACTTTTGAGCTCCAAGACTAGACTAGAGAAAAATTCAGAAGTTAGGAGTCAGCTGTCATTTGTAAGGAGCACACGGAGCTCCTGGGATTTGTGCATCTCTGTTTTAATGTACGGTTTTGTTTTTATAAATATAAATAAAGTGATGCACAGATACCAGTTTTGCAAGTACGAGTACTGGTACTTGCTGAGTACTTACAAGTACGAGTACTGATACATTTTTGTTTATTGTCATGTGACAGTTTTTCTAAAACAATACAGACTAATGATTTCAGGACAGTGGTGGAGCACCAGAGCCAGGTCCCAGCTGCAACCGCTGAAACCCTGGTAGTTCTCATGAAAATGCCAAGTATCTGCACTGGTACTCGAAAAGTATCTGTGCATCCCTAGTATTTATATAGCGCCGACAATTTACGCAGCGCTTTACATAGTGCACATGTACGTCAGTCCCTGCCCTCAAGGAGCTTACAATCTAATGTCCGTATCTCACAAGCATACTTACGAGGGCCAATTTAGGCAGGAGCCAATTAACTTACTAGCATGTCTTTGGAGTGTGGGAGGAAACCGGATTACCCAGACGAAACCCACCCAAGCTTAACTGAACTTCTCTGTTCAGGTACCAGGGGATTTGTCCCATTTCAAGAGAATTTCACATAAGAGAATGGATTGTGATGTTGTGCAAATAGAAGGCACATTTAAACCCAGAGGATGCAGGAAGTGGACATGAGAAACATGTGGGTCCCAAAAGGTACCGGGAGGCACCCCAAGTGTGGATGGCAGGGGGTTGGAGCTTGTTCAATGTCCGACATAAAGCCATCCAAACAAATGCCAGAGGGGTGCTGGTAGATTCTAAGGTATTCGATGTAGAACTTAAGAAGGGGGTCGGCACAAAGGACATAGCAGCAGGTGTGCTGGCATCACAAAACCAAGTGATGGGATGCATTCCCACATGGAAGACTGCAAACCTTGCAAACCAAAGGAGACCCCTTACCCATATGCCCATCTGTCAGTGACCCAGGAAACAGCACAGATATGGCAGCCACTGCCGTTGCTGAGGCACAGTACCAACTAAGGCTTTGAAGCAAGGAGAGTGGCCCCGGGAGGACATTTACTACCCTCAGGTAGGGAAAAACAAACGATTATGTGCCCAATGTCCTGTTGGTTATGTGTTTAGATGAAGCAGTGAGATCTTGAGGAATGCTGAATTATGTTTTACTTGCTTAAAAGAACATTATATCAAAATACAGCATACAGAGAGAACTTTCTGTATATAGCATAGATAAGCATGGACATACAGACTAGCATTGCAGTATGCTGCCATCTACAGCTCAAAAGATAATATTACATCTCTGAATGTCAGTAATACAAATCAGTGTATGCTCTTGTATTTCCAACACCCCTTCTCAACAACATATGTGTTGCTATATGACATTCAGCTTCTCTCGAAGCTGAATGTCGGAAACTGTGATGATCCTTTGGCAATTGCTTGGTGAGTGCATCCGCAGTCATTTCTTCTGATAAACAATATTGGATGTTGATAATGGCTTGCTCATGAGTGTTCAGGTTTTATTTTCTTGGGAGTGATTTTATTTATTTTTCTGCCGCCTTTCTCCATTGATTGGCTCCGCATTATGGTACATTTTCCATGTCTTCCCATGATGTTGGTTCGAGTATGCTATGTGTCTTAGCAGTATATGACAGCTTGCAGAGTAATACTTTTGTTGCTCGAGTGGATCTTCAAAATTCAGGTTGTTCAGCAGAATTTAACATGGAACTTGACTTATCCATTGTGAGTTCCACTTCTTGATCTGACTCCTGTGTGTCTTCACTTTGCTCAGTTTCCTTTGCAAATTCACTTCAGACCTTCCCAGTATCATTATTTCTTGTGGTGGGTTCTCATTGAAATAAACGCTGTGGTTTATTGTCAATTTGTCAGTCTTTGGGTGGAGGATTCTATATCCCTTATTTTGTTCACTGTAGCCCTTCAGAATACCTTCAATGGCTGTGTTCTCCAATCTGGATCGTTTCTCCTTTGGAATATAGGTGTAAGCTTTACATCTAAACACTCTAATGTGCCCCTAGGCTAGGCTTTGATCCATGGCACATTTCAAATAGGGTGCTTCCAACGGCTTTTGAAGGTAGTTATTTTTGTAGGTATGTTGTGGTCGTGACTGCTTCTCCCCAGTACTTCTTAGGTAGGTTGGCGTCTGACAGCATGCATCTGGCCAATTCTATAAGAATGTGATTTTTCCATTCTGCTATACCATTTTCTTCAGGAGTGTATGGTGTGGTTGTCTGGTGTACTTTACCTTGTTTTTTCAGATATGATTCCACTTCCTTACTATTCCCCTCCATTTTTGATGTTGGTACAATTCCTGTTTTCTGTTGGAATTTGTTCTCGAACATGGCTACAAACTCTTGAAGTTTTTCTGATGTTTTATTCTGGTGCTTCATCAGATAAGTTGTTGTGTACCTGGAATAATCATAAATGAAAGTCAGTAGATATCTGTTCCCACCTGATGTGGGAGTTTTCATTGGTCCACACACATTGCTGTGTATGAGCTCCATGGGTTGGGTGGTCTTTATTTGAGTGACTTGTGGAAGTGGGGTATGTGTGGCTTTTGCTTCCATTCAGCATTTGCATGTCATGAGCATTTTGTCAGGCAGTATGGTTATATCTTCTGATAAGTCTCTCT